CCTGTTGTATGATCTCCAAAAAATGGACACAAGTCAGATATTGACCTGTCTGAAAAAGTTACCTTTGTCCCCAACCAAACACATCTAGGATAAAATTGGTAGAGCTTTTAGTATGACTAAGTATCTGGCTGAAAATATTGGATTTGACTTTCAAAATAACACAAACAAGGAAAAGCACTCTTTTAAAATCCATAAAACATGTTTTGAATCAAAACCAAACAGAAAAAAATCACATTTCACTGCAAGTTCATTGTAATGGAATACAATTAGGGGAGATGTACTAAAACTTTTGCACATAGCATGTGGTGCAGCTGTGCATAGTAACCAATCAGCTTCCAGGTTTTATTGTCAAAGCTTAATTGAGCAAGCTGAAGATAGAAGCTAATTGGTTACTATACAGAGCTGCACCAAATTGTGTGTGCACCACTTTTAGTAAATCTCCCTCATTGTTTCATATGATTTCAAAACACAGTAATTTATTCTAGGTTTACATTATAATAATTTTACAAAATTTGACCGCAATCTCGATCAATGAGCAGAGAGAGGCTGGATTTTCCACAGCAGAGCTGCTCAAATGGTGCAAATAATGAAAGGTGTATTTTACTAAGGGAGTCATTTTTCACTTGTCCAAAAGCCCAACTTATTACATTAAAAGGAAACATAATAAAATATAATTTAAAAAACCCTAATTGAATGTTCAAAAAGAGGAGGTTCACCCAGTCAGCTAAAGGGCCTATTACAATGAAAAATATTGGTATTCTGGTAACTGTGTACATGTAATACCTGTAATAATAATAATCAGTACATCAATTCCTTTCTTTATTTTACATGTATTTATTTGTATTTTACCCATTTGAGACTCTTATCTTTATATTAATCACACTTTAAGGTTAAATGTTTAGTACAAGTTTAAAGTAGTTGTAAAGGTTGTCTTTGCATGAAGGTAAAAATACTTCTGTGTGCAGCAGCCCCCCTAAAACTACTTGAGCCCCATCTTGATCCAGCGAGAGCCTTGACTCGCCCAGGTCCCTCCCACCTCTTTGGCTGAGACAGCAGCAGTAGCCAGTGGCTGTCAGTCACAGCCAGTGAGCCAATGAGGAGAGAGCAGGGGCCAGGCCAAGTGAATGGACACACAGAGCAGCAGCTCGAGAGTGAGCTTGCTTGGGTGACCCACTAGCACTAGGCAGTAGGGAGGGGCCTTGACAGCCCGCAGGGGACAAATCCTAGAGACATTGAAAACTGTGGAAAAATGGGAAAACTGTAGGAACATATTAAATAAAGGTATTACCCACTGTATTCCAATGGGCAATAAATATAAAAGAGTGACAGTCAAACCTGGGAGGCTAAACTGTAACATAAAAGGACATATCAAAGAGAAAAGAATGGCCTTCAAATAATATAAGGCAGAGGGGTCATTGTCAGCATTCCAACACTACAAGAAATGCAATAAAAAGTGTAAGAAAGCAATCACGGCAGCTAAAATTGACTACGAGAGACACATAGCAGAGAAGAATAAAAAGGACCCCAATCATTTTTTTAAAATAGATTAATAGTAAAAAAAAGAGAGGTCTAAACATACTGGCCCCCTAAAGGATGATGAAGGGAATCTGGTTACAATTGACAAGAAGAAGGCAACTGTATTAAATACATTATTCTCCTCAGCTTTTACTAAAGAAAAGGCGGGGTATAGTAATCAGGACTGTATCATTAGTAACACATCACAGAATGTACTGTTGTGGCTAACAGAAGACAATGTCCAAAAAAGAGTAGAAAATCTCAACACAAATAAATGACCAGGACCGGATGGCTTACACCCAACATTCCTCAAAGAACTCAGTCAGGTTATAGCCAGACCAATATACCTAACTTTTATGGACAGCACACTGACAGAACGAGGACCAACATGGCACCACTATTCAAAAAGGGTGGAGACATATACCTGGGAACTACAGACCAGTCAGTCTAACCTCATTAGTATGTAAACTAATTGAGGGGATGATAAGGGACTATATCCAAGAATTCACTGAAGAAAACAGTATAATTAGTAGCAATCAGCACAGATTTACTAAAGGTTGTTGTTCTTGCCAAACTAATCTGTTAACATTCTATGAGGAAGTGAGCAGCTATCTAGATAAAGGAAGGGCGGTGGAGGTGGTGTACCTGGATATTGCAAAAGAATTTGATACAGTTCCACATAAACATTTAAATTAAAAACTAAGATCTATAGGCATGGACAACAGGGTTTGTTCATGGATAGAAAACTGTTTACATGGACGTGTCCAACAGGTGGTGATAAATAGTGAATTCTCAGACTGGACCAAAAGGCTCTGTCCTGGGGCCAATTCTGTTTAACTTTTTCATAAATGACATAGAGGTTGGTATAAAGAGCTCAATCTTAGTATTTGCTGATGATACAAAGCTAAGTAGGGCAATAATTTCACAACACAAAATATAAACTTTACAAAAAGACCTCAATAAAATAGGGTGAGCAAATACATGGCAAATTAAGTTTAATATTGAAAAAGATAAGTAATGCATTTGGGGGCTAAAAATATAAAACACAAATAACTCAATAGGGGGAGAACCTCTAGGGGAATCCAGGATGGAAAAAGATCTGGGAGTCTTAGTACATGACAGGTTCAGCAATGGCATGCAATGCCAAGCTGCAGCAAGCAAAGCTAACAAAATATTAGCGTGCATTAAAAAAATAATTTACTGAAAGAGATAAAAGTATAATCTTGCCACTTTACAAAACTCTAGTTCAGCCGCATCTGGAGTATGCTGTTCAGTTCTGGTCATCAATCCTCAAGAGGAAAGTGGAGGAACAGGAGAGAGTCCAGAGAAGAACAACTAAGTTAATAAGGGGACCAGAGGACCTCAGTTATGAGGAAAGATTACGAACACTAAACTTATTCTCCCTGTAGAAGAGACGCTTGAGAGGGGATATGATAGCGATATACAAGTTTGATGATTCTAGTATAGGGAATAAACTATTCAGTCTCAGGGAGTGTAATTAGACACGGGCCACTCAATGAGATTGGAAGAAAAACATTTTTTTTCACTATCAGGGCCGTAAGGATGTGGAACTCACTTCCAAAATTGGCGGTGTTAGCAGGAAGCATTGATAGTTTTAGAAAAATCTTGGGTAGGTACCTTAACAAACACAGTAACAGGGATACGGGCAATGTTTTTGACATGAACACACAACACAAGCACAGGTTGACTTGGATGGACTGGTGTCTTTATTCAACCTTACCAACTATGTACTGTAAGTATTAAATTCACTTTTATCATTAATTTTTTTCAGGTAATTACTCTGTATTGTCAGTATTTCCTAGCCCATCAGACCTCAGGGCCTCAGTGTAAATTCTAATTGTTCCCACTACTTCCACCATCACAAGTAAGTGCTGGAAAAGGTGGTCCAGTAGTAAAAATAAAAGATAAGAGTTATAGTAGCAATAAAACAGAGTATTTTATATTACTATATATTTGTTAGTGCTCGAGAACAATAACTCTATAATGCTAATACAAACTTATTGAAAACTGTTATTATATATATTATAAACTATTTTTTTTTTCATGCACTACTACAAACTGCAGATTGGCATATCTTTTTTTTTAGCTGAAAAGACACTGATGCATTTTTTTTTTTGTTAGTCTAAGGAAGACTGTGTTAGGCATACAAGGCTAATCTCAGCGTTGGACAGGATAAGCAGAAGCTCTGAGGGCTATAAAGCTACTGTGCTAAAAACTACTAGACAAATTCTCCATACTATATAGCCTGCAAAAGGGGGGTCTGTGATTAGGGACAATGATCCTAATGACTGTTCCTGTGCGTCTAACATCTCTTGTCCTTCACTGGAAACATACAGAGTTAGTGTCAACAACAAAAACTTCTCAAATGGGGTTATGCCATTATGGCTATAGATAAGGCAATGATACATTATTATTAGAAATGATCTTCTCATTTCCCCACATTTTCCTCAGATGCACAGGTAAACCCATGTAACAAAGCTGAAAAGTAGGGAAGGGGAGAACTGGGAACTGGCAAATCTGCACAATGCCATATGCAGCCATTCCAGTCATTTAGGCAATACTCTTCCCCTATCCATCTCTAGTCCTAGTCTTTCTCATCCGGATGTGACGTGGACTGGAAGTGATGCAGTTGGCGAGCAGGGTGAGATACAGTGATCACCAGCCACATGTATCATGGCAGTTCCGATGGCTTTTGTCATTATGATGGGCACATATTTCTAATGTGCTTGTAAGTGTGATTTTTAACTGGGGATTCATTTTATTAAATTAGTTGAAAGGGCATTATGCTATGTCAGCCACTCTTTTTTTTCTAAGTCCTAGTATGGCTATGGAAAACAGTGAGGCACAGACGGAGGTGCATTAAAAGTGGAGCCATTGTGAAGAAGTTTGATGTGAGCGAATTTTGACGATCAGTAAAATGAGAGGCAAATACAAATGGTGAGGGTGGTGTCTTATCGGGAGTGGAGGTCACCTTTTGTACAGTTGTGAATGGAATCCGAAGATCCGAATTTGGATTCACACTAGCAGATTGATGGATTTGAACATTACCCATGAAATTGTGCATTGAATGTTATCTATGAACTTTAAGTAGATATCACATTGGTGCACATTTTTTCACTTCTTTTCAACGGGTGATCATTGTTCAAGATATTGAGTTATACTTTATGTTGTGTCACTCTACCAAGTGCCGAATTTTATTTACACTTTCCTTTGTAAGTTTAATATTACATTGTTTGTCACCCTTAGTTCATCCTGCTCAGATAAAAAGAGATCATGTAACCCAACCACCCTGTCTGTTTTATATACTTTTCAGCAGTCAATCTGTCTCTTCTATCAGTGGAACCCTGTCCACATTTCTTGGTAATCCCATTACCCATAATAAAACAGACTTTTCCTTGGTAACCCTGTTACCCATTGTGATAGCCTGTCCACCTGCGGAACCCCATCCATATTCTATCTGCACCCTTAACCTCCCTGGCGGTATTCCCGAGTGTAGCTCGGGGTAAAGTTTCAGTACCACAAGCGGTAACCCCGAGCTATACTCCGGCTTACCATGCAGCGCTTCTCCAAGATTCCTGGATCACTTACCTTGTCCTGCGCTCCCGCGATGTCCCTCCTGCAGTGTCCCCGGCAATGTAATCCGGCGGATGCCGGCATCTGTCTTCTGGGTTCCGTTCCCTGCGAGCGTCGGGACGTATGGGGGACGGAACGGCGGGAAATTTGAAAATGACAAAAAGTGACATTCACTAAAATCACGTAGTATAACATTACTGTATCAAACCATTTCACATACATTTTGTCCCGAGTGCTTTGTCCTGTGCCCTGCCTGCATTTTTACTGCTCTTATTGCCTGGAAACTGAGAAACGTGCATGGCATCCAAAAAGTGTCCCTTTAGGTCAAAAGCAGTTTTAGACCAGCTAGAGAACAGCGATAGTAAATCAGAACCACTTGCAGAATTGAGTGATGATGATTCGTGGGGATATTCATCATCAGACACTGAAAACGATTTTGCGACTTGGCTCAGTGATGTGCGAACTTGGCGCTATATTTAAAATTTTAGTGCTTTTGGTTTGATTATATTATTGAATTAAATTTATTATCATTATATTATTATTTTTTATGATTATTTATTACATTATAATTTATGATTTCGTGTTTCAAGTTTTATCCTACCCGGGATGTTTACTAGACTCTTGTTCGGACAGATTTCAGTGAGTTCCTAAAAATTACAGGCCTACAATAAAAAAAATACATATTTCCATGCAAAAAAATGTACCGCTTTGAGCACAGAAATATGGACATAATCGGACCGCTAGGGAGTTTAAGAGACTTTTGAGGTGGCTGGGAACACAGAGACCTATCTCACTGCTATTTAGCTTTTTCTACTATCCCAAATTTCAACAGTGACAAAGACAACATATAACCAACCAATAAGTCTTGTAGGGGTCTGGAAACCCCTTTTTACCTTTATATTAGAAGGCACAGAAAGTAAGTTGAGCACTCTTATTAGTAAGCAAAGGGCTTACCTTCAAGCTTAGAGTGGTCATACTCCCTCCAGTGTCTCCTGGTTTTTTTCATGGTTCTAGGTTCACTGTTCTTCCTTGGTTTCTTTATTTTACACATATTTATTTATATTTTATCAACATTTAAAGGCAGATCAAGTTGTTCAGCAAAAAGAAGCAGTTATGGGACTGGGAAAAGTCAGAGTGGAAAGTTGTAATTCCAGTATCCTTTAGTCATCATCTCCCAGCAGCAAGCAGATCTCAGTGATCAGTTTCCATCTGATGCTGGCTGCTGGGGGGGTATTTAGGTCATCCTCTATTAGTGCCTCTTGCTCCAGTGGTTTGCTGCTGCCAGATCCTGTCACCATTTATCCTGATCTTGCTGCCTTATACCTGAGCTCCCTTCTTTTTCCCAGTTTTGGTTTGCCTTTTCCATCTGCTACCTTCCGTGTTGGTGTCTGGATTAATTTTTTTCTCACTATATATAAATCTCATCTAAAGCATACACATTCTGGTCCCAGTTTCCTGAGTGTAGCTATACAGATTTGGTCATCTCTGCTGCTGATTCCTGACAACCAAATCTTTCCATCACTCCTCCACTACTCTGTTCAGCTACTAGAAGCAATATAATACCTGATACTTACAGGTATGGTGGAGCATCATTTGCCTTCCTCTCATGTGACTGTATTGGTGTTTGCTGAATTGGACCAGCATGGTCACAAGAGGGAACAATCAGGTTCTCAGTCCTGTGTAAGCTCCAAGTAGAGCGACACAAATTCTAATAGGGCTTCATTTCTTCATTCTCAGTGGCTCAACAGAGTGGCAAGTGAGGACATTCTGCTGGGATGCTTAAAATGATCTGACAGGTAAGTAAATGTTGTGCTTAGTAAAGTTGTGAAAACTTTAAATCATAAAAGTACATCAACACCTATTATTACTATAATATTTTCATAATATCAGCAAGATTAAATGTACTTTCACTCAATGGGTAAAAGTAAATAATTTGTAGTGAACGTTTGTTTTAACTTTCTAATATAAATAGGTTAATAAGCTGAATGATGCAAGGCAGGTAAATAGCATAAATATGCTCATACTAATATGGCATTATTAAACTTTCACTTAAAAAATGCTTTTATTAAGTGCAAACTTTAGCTTTTAACATTTTATGAATAACTCAGTTCAAAAATGAATTCATAATTAAAGAATATGTGATCAAATGAATAAAAAGTATAAAAACTACAAAATAGTTTGAGAACTAAATGCAAGCCCTATGCATTTCCTAATTGTTTATGATGAAGTGGAAAGCATTGTAAATTTATAGGCAGCTGATTAGGAAACATTTGTGCTGATTGCACTTTTGCACGCAAATGGGTTTATAAAAAAAATCTTATCACTGAGTCATTCCAAGAGCCTAATCAGAATATCAGCATCAAATCAGACTATGGTATTTTCTGAAATATTAAGCTTGTCATAATGAAAAACTGGAAAACAGCAAACTCTGGCAATTTACGGGGTGAAACTGCTTCCTAAACGTTATAGGCAGCATGTAAATGTACTCTGTACTAATGAGGAAAGAATGTTATTCATGGTACAGTTGAAAGCTGTTATATGCAAATGGTGGCAGTGATTTACGGGAACTAAAAAAGAAACTGTTTCCCATAACAATCAATTCCCTGTTCTATTTACTTTTTTAAGTTAGAGAATTAGGGCTCATGCTCATGGCCACCTGGGGCTGTACAATGTATAGTTTAGGGAAATGCACCAGAATTTTACTTTATATGGCCCAAGGTGGCCATGTGCATGAGCCCTTAACCACTTGAGCCCCAGAGGATTTACCCCCCTTAATGACCAGGCCTTTTTTTGCTGTTTTTGGCGCTGCACTAATTCAAATGATAATTGCGCGGTCATGCAATGCTATACCCAAACAAAATTTACGTCCTTTTTTTCACACAAATAGAGCTTTCTTTTGGTGGTATTTGATCACCTGTGCGCTTTTTATTTTTTGCGCTATAAAACAAAAAAACCACGAAAATTTTGAAAAAAACCAATATTTTCTACTTTCAGCTATAAAAAATATATCGTAAACTCAAAGTTAGTCATAAATTTAAGCCAAAATGTATTCTGCTACATGTTTTTGGTAAAAAAAATCCCAATAAGTGTATATTGATTGCTTTGTGTGAAAGTTATAGCGTCTACAAACTATCGTATAGATGCTGTAATTTATGCCTTTTTTTGCTATACAGCGCTGCACTAATTCAAATGATAATTGCACGATCATGCAATGCTGTACCCAAACGAAATTTACGTCCTTTTTTTCACACAAATAGAGCTTTCTTTTGGTGGTATTTGATCACCTGTGCGCTTTTTTTTTATTTTTTGCGCTATAAACAAAAAAACCACAAAAATTTTGAAAAAAAACAATATTTTCTACTTTCAGCTATAAAAAATATATCGTAAACTCAAAGTTAGTCATAAATTTAAGCCAAAATGTATTCTGCTACATGTTTTTGGTAAAAAAAAATCCCAATAAGTGTATATTGATTGCTTTGTGTGAAAGTTATAGCGTCTACAAACTATGGTATAGATACTGTAATTTATGCCTTTTTTTGCTATACAGCGCTGCACTAACTCAAATGATAATTGCGCGGTCATGCAATGCTGCACCCAAACGAAAATTACGTCCTTTTTTTCACACAAATAGAGCTTTCTTTTGGTGGTATTTGATCACCTGTGCGCTTTTTATTTTTTTGCGCTATAAACAAAAAAACCACAAAAATTTTGAAAAAAAAACAATATTTTCTACTTTCAGCTATAAAAAAATATATCGTAAACTCAAAGTTAGTCATAAATTTAAGCCAAAATGTATTCTGCTCCATGTTTTTGGTAAAAAAAAATTCCGTGCATTAGCGGGCAAACTGGCGCTATCTAGGAGGGGCGCTAACACTATCGGAAGTCACCAGTGACACTAATACAGTGATCAGTAAAAATCTGTTCACTGTAATCAATGACACTGGTGACAGGGCAGTGAAGGGGTTAACTGGGGGGGGGGGGGGCGATCAAGGGGTTAAATGGGATTTCTGGTGCACTAGCGGGCAAACTGGCGCTATCTGGGAGGGGCGCTAACACTATCGGAAGTCGCCAGCGACACTGATACAGTGATCAGTAAAAATCGGTTCACTGATCAGTGACACTGGTGACAGGGCAGTGAATGGGTTAACTGGGGGGGGGGAGATTAAGGGGTTAAATGGGATTACTGGTGTACTAGCGGGCAATCTGGCGCTATCTGGGAGGGGCGCTAACACTATCGGAAGTCGCCAGCGACACTGATACAGTGATCAGTAAAAATTGGTTCACTGATCAGTGACACTGGTGACAGGGCAGTGAAGGGGTTAACTGGGGGGGGGGGGGTGATCAAGGGGTTAAACGGGATTACTGGTGTACTGGCGGGCAAACTGGCCCTATCTGGGAGGGGCGCTAACACTATCGGAAGTCGCCAGCGACACTGATACAGTGATCAGTAAAAATTGGTTCACTGATCAGTGACACTGGTGACAGGGCAGTGCAGGGGTTAACTGGGGGGGGCGATCAAGGGGTTAAACGGGATTACTGGTGTACTGGCGGGCAAACTGGCGCTATCTGGGAGGGGCGCTAACTCTATCGGAAGTCGCCAGCGACACTGATACAGTGATCAGTAAAAATTGGTTCACTGATCAGTGACACTGGGTGACAGGGCAGTGAAGGGGTTAACTGGAGGGGGGGGGCGATCAAGGGGTTAAACGGGATTACTGGTGTACTGGCGGGCAATCTGGCGCTATCTGGGAGGGGCGCTAACTCTATCGAAAGTCGCCAGCGACACTGATCAGTAAAAATCGCTTCACTGATCAGTAACACTGGTGACAGGGCAGTGAAGGGTTAACTGGAGGGGGGGGGGGGGCGATCAGGGGGTTAAATGTGTCCTAGAGTGTTCTAACTGTAGTGTAGTGCTTGTGTACTCACTTTTTGGATGTCTTCTTCTCTGTCTGGAACGGAATGTGTCCAGGCAGAGAAGAATGACATCATATCCTGCCCTGTGTATGTCAACACAGGACAGGATAGGACAGGGACCGATCATGTGATTTCAGCCAGAAATCACTGGCTGAAATCTAATGATTGATCCCTCCTGGATCAAATAGTGTCACCCGCGGGTCGGCGGGAGCGCGCGCGCGCGCGCGCCCCCTGCCGGCGAAAGTGTCGGGAGCGCGGAACCCGTTTTTTAAACGTGGTTTTGCGCTCCACTGCCGCCCTGCACACGT